TATATATATATTTATATTATCTTCTTGTTATTAGTATTCACTTTTTAAAATAGCACAAATTTATTTAAACACAAAAATTACAATATAAAATTATTAAGTACTTAATGTAAATAAACTAACAAAGCAAAAACATTCCTATTTATAACTTTTTTAAAATATGTTGTACGTGTTGTCTCAGGGTTCTCATCGTTGATAAATGAAGAGTTGCATTTCCCAGAGAATTCCATACCTTGTTATCTTCTCCGATTAGATAACGTAATATGACTCTCGTGAAGTCTATGGTATCATCATTTTATCACATATAACAGCTCCCCTTATTTTTGAAAAGTTGATGCTATGCAGCAACTTTTTCGCTAAGTTGGATTTCACAGAAGTTATCGTTGGATTCGATGTCTGGTCGTCTTTTGATGGTGTTTGATATCGTTTCGGATATCGTTTTTCTTGGTTTAAATTTTGTATGCAACAATGCTAATGACTATCAGAGCTAAGATTATCCAAATCTCTCGAATATTGTTCAAGTCTGTGGTTGGCAATTTCCAATTCCTCCATATTTAAGTTATTGATTTTTAAAGGTTCTAATTTAGGGAGTTCTATATTGTCTGGAACATGAGTAAAACAGTTGTATGGAACGAGAACGGGTTGAGGGTTTTCGATTACCTTGGATGTCTTGCTAGCTTCTGCTTGTATTTTTGTAATGCACACTGGTTTAAGTTTTAACAAAGAGTTTTTATTGATTACCAATGTTTCACAGTTTATGTTTTGGAAGTTTATAGACACTTGAACAGGTTCGGTCGCACTAATTAACCATTTATTGTCCTTTAAATTTTGCACATTATAACCTTGTCCGTAAATTAAGGCACTATGACAGTTATTCGGAACGTCCATGTTGGTTTTTAACAATTGCACTTCACACGGCGTTATTGTCTATTGGGTATGCGTACAGGATGGAGCACAGTTTTCTTCCTGGTGATAGCTGCTTGCATTCTTCTGGATTCTTGACGGGGATGTACATTAAAGAATCATCGTTTCGCGCGATATATTTTTGACAAAACGGGATAAAGACCAGTTCTTTCATCAGGTATAGGAATAGGAAATAAATGCTAGAGGGTGTAGATTTGTTGTTCAATTAAAGGGATTTTTAGAACAAAAACAAGATCATGATTTGTTTGGTACGCTTGGAGTTCTATGATTTCCAAATACTGAGCTATTTGTGAATGTTTAATGGCTAAAGGTAAATTATTTTTCTCAAGATTTTGAGATATTTTTTGTAATTCTAATATTAAGTTGTTGGGGGTTATAATTGAAAAATTAATTATAATTAATAATTATCTTTAGGCGGGCAAAGGAAATGCCATTTATTATGTCATTAAGATTGTCTTCCAAAAACAAGTAACTTTCCATTAGTTTTTCACAAATTTCGAAAAATTTTGATTTGGCTTCTACTAGGTGAACTGCTCTTTCTATTTTGAAACTGTCGTTTTTTCGTCAAACGAAAGTTTTTGTATTGTGTTGTTAAAGTTTTGCATAATTGATGTTGTGACTGTTATTTCATTTTTTAACAGATTTTTAACTTGAATTTGATCTTTATTTAATTTATTGATACTGTTAACGAAGAATTCGCCATCTGATGCATCTAAATTACCAGTAATTGCTTTGAATACTGTACCAAAACCGTTAATAAGGCCTCTTTTAGAGCGCTTTGTGTCTGTAAATATTTCGTCAAATTTTCTTTTTATTGTCTGGGATATTTGTGTTAATAAGTTAACGTGTGTAGTGAATTCAGCTCTAAAAGAATTCATATTATGATAGTCAGGGCTTATTGTGTTATGAATTGTCTTTAAAATTTTGTAGTTATTGTCAAATGCGACGCGTAAGTTTGTTATGTTTCTGTGTATAAGTAGTGTCCATTGGGCTTAGGAAACAACGATTTGTGTTTCGTCATGATAGTATATTCCCAAAGTGTTGTTAATGGGTACTATTCGGTATTGGCAGAGTGCTGTACCAATCAGCATTAAGTACCTAAAAATAATTAATTTTCAGAATAGGGTTTCATTCGGTCAAAATTGACTTTTGTGCGTTGATTTGTTTGCAAACCATGGTTATTTAAAAGTATAGCGGAATTATTTAGAATCTCTAAGATCTGAAAACTACCATTAAAATTGTTTTCTTATTTATTTTTTATTTGAGATTCTTTTATATAAACTTTGTCACCTACTTGATAATTTGGAAGATTATTATAAACATGTTGATCGAAACGGGTTTTGGACTTTTGTTTTTGGGCTTCGGTTCGGGCTCTAGCTATTTTGTAATAATGTGTTATTCGATTATTAAGGTCTCTAATTTATTTGGTAATGAGTTGATTTTCATTATAAAGTTTTTCTGGAGGTCTACTAGAGGTGTGTCCGAAGACTAATTCATATGGAGTGAATCCATGCGTTTTATTATTCGAGTTTTTGTAACAAATTACGGCATAGGGCAGTATGTTAAAAGAATGTTCGTTTGGGTGTTCAGCTAAGTGAACATCATTTCCAATAAGGTGGAATGAAATCGTTCGAGAGAACCATTTGATTGTGGGTGTCCTGCTCTAGAATTCGTTAATTTTATGTCATAAAGATTACATAAGTCTCTTAAGAGGCTGTTGTCAAATTCTCTACCGTAGTCACAATGAATACGAAGAGGGGTGTTAATAACGGATTTTGCGCTTTTGTCATTAATTGGATAAGCTTGGCTAAATTTTGTCAGTTCATCTCTGATGGTAAGAGCGTAATTTCTACTAGGGACTTCTAGGATGTCAATGTCAATGCGTTCGAAGGGTATTCTAGGTTTTTCGGTGATGACAAAAGGTCGGTCGAGGTTGTTTCGATAAGCTTTAGTTTTTTGGCAAGTAGTACAATTTTTTATAAATTTTTCTACGTCTTTTGTGAGTCCGGTCCAATTATATTTTTGGTTTGTTTCGTTAATTCCGCAGTGAAGGTTGGCTTTACCGCAGTGAAGTTGATCTAAAATTATTGGAATTTGATCAGGGTCTGGTGTTTTTATGACGTTTTGAAAGACTTTAAATTTAATTTCTTTTTCTGCAAAAAGAAAGGATAGCATTTCTAATATTGGTAGGTCAATATTAGTTTCTACGCTATAGATTTTATAAATAAATAAAACTTCTGAAACTGAATTAGGGTCAGATGGAAGGGGTATAATTAAATATTTTTTGGTTTTTACTGTTTTACTACTTAAAATGTTAATTTTGAAAGCTTCGAAATCTGCGTGTTTTTCGAAGATGTCTTCAGATACTTTTTCTTTGGAAAAAGAATAAAATGTTTAAATATATATATATATATATATATATATATATATATATATATATAGAGGTCCACTTTTTTGTTTTATGAATTATATATATATAAATATTTAGATATAGCAAAAACACAATTACTTTTATTTAGGTTTTGTTTTGTAATTTGTGGTCCTTGTACTCGCCAAGGGCCTCTAGGCGAAATAAGAGCAAGAAAGCAGGGTCTAATTAATAATTATTTACTTTTAATTAATAATTATTTACTTTTTCGAGTCTATTTTAGGCTCATAAAAATGTCCTTTTAGGACAATAAATCAAAATTTCGCTTTTAGGCAAAAACAAAGGGGTGCCAAACGCTTTATTTTTTTAAGTTTAGGATTAATTTCAAGGTCCCAAACAAATGCCTGAAATAGAAACAAAAAGGCAATTTGCCTAAAATCCGGTCCTTGCTTCTAACTAAAATATATAAATGTAGTATCTGTTTTTTGTCTAAATATTTAATTTGTATATAATAAATTTTGTTTTGCCTGAGAAATATAATCCCTACATAATTTTGCTTTTAAGTAGGTATATTTTTAGTTTGTTTATGACAGGATAAGAACAAGACAGGTAAAATGTTGGAATTCCTCGGGGCAATCTGGCAATAACTGTGACCTAGAGGGAGAGAAAGTTTTCAGCCCAGATGTGTAACGGGTACCTGCGTTCAACAAGAAGGACAGATTTTAACGGGCCGTTGCGAACTGAAGACGTGTTTTAATTTGTAACCTTGTTACTATTTTTAATTAATGTGTAATATCATAGTCACTTGTAAATAAAACCGATTTACCATCATTGCTGATTATTTCCCTACAAATTTTGGGGGCTCAACCGGGATACAGCAACGGTTATTCGCGAGTGGAAAGTGATAAGTGAGAAAAACAGTGCAAAATTAAAGTTAAACAACATGGCAGAATCTTTCACGAACGAAACTCCCAAGGCAGAGACGGAGTTAGTGTGCGAAGATATTGCGGATGAGCGAGTAAATAGCATGACGGTTACCGAACTCAAGGAGGAGCTGCGACGACGGCGGCTGCGAGTGTCGGGTAACAAACGAGAGCTACGAACTCGTCTTATGGCCGAATTAACGTTGGTAAGAGTTCATGGGGCCCAAGACAATGAAGACGACGACGGCGGCAACGGCGATGACGAAGACGACGGCAACGGCGATGACGAAGACGGCGACAACAACGGCAGAGTAGTGGAGCACGCAGACGGCAGCCACCAGAACCCCAAGGGCCGAAAGGACGACGACGAAGATCAAGAAGACTATGACGATGTCAGCAGTATAAATCGTGCGACGATGCCTACAAGAAGAAGACGTCGACGATCGCCATCAAAGCATCGGCTAAATTTTAGAGACGTGGAAGAATCCTTAGAGAAATTTAGCGGCGACGGTCACTCTAATGTTCGACGATGGATTGAGGATTTTGAAGAAATGTCAGAAATGTGCGAATGGTCCGACTTGCAAAAAGTGGCGTACGCTAAAAAATTATTGACGGGGTCAGCCAAATTATTTGTGGCTTACGAGCGCTGTGTAAAGACGTAGAAAAAACTAAAGAGCGCACTGAAAAATGAATTTGATGTAGAAGTCGATAGTTACCAGGTGCATCAAGAATTAAAGGCCCGAAAAAAGAAAGCCGGTGAGACTCATCAAGAATACATACACAAAATGATGGAGATTGCGAGTCAAGCAGAGGTAGAAAAGCGGGCGGTGATTCAATATATTATTGAGGGTATCGACGATGACGCAACAAACAAGTCCTTATTATATGGAGCAACATCTATCAAACAGCTTAAAGAACGGTTTTGCCAGTACGAAAACATGATAAGAGAAATGCAAGGAAAAGCAAAATCAGCAGAACGAAAAGGCGACGGCAAAAGTTTTCAGAAGAAACCGGCTACAGTGATAGAATACGCGAAGCCGAAACGGTGTTTCAACTGTGGTGAAACAAACCATATAAGTGCGGAGTGTCCGGAAAAACAAAAGGGCGTAAAGTGTTTTAAGTGCAATGAGTTTGGGCATATAGCATCTAAATGTCCCCCGAAATCGGAAGGAACAATCAAAGAAATTAATGTTGTTTCACGGCAGGGTGAGCAAAATTACATGAAAGCGGTACTGATAGGGCAAAACAAGTTTGCAGCACTGGTAGATACGGGTAGTGATTTGACTTTCATGCGAACGGACGAATATGTGAAAATCGGATCTCCCGCCTTGCGAGATCGTAAAGTTAAGTTTGAGGGACTTGGTTCTAGCAGTAACGAAACTTAAGTGAATTTACAGTAAATGTAAATGTAGATGAAGAAAACTATCCAGTTACGTTTCACGTCGTGGCGGGCGAAATTTTTAAACGAGGATTGCTGTTAGGAACGGATTTTCTAGACAAAGTGGAACTGTGCGTTAAAGGAAGTGACGTTACGTTCGCGAAAATAAATAAAACTGACAATAACTCGCAAGTGCCGCATATTTAAAAAATAAATGTGATCGATGAAGCTAAGGTCATTGACCTAGCACACGAAGAAAAACCTCAGGATCGCGAAAAGCTGAAAAAATTACCTGAGAAAACCTGTAGTGTAGGAATACAAACCGAAATTATTCTGAAAGACGATAATCAAGTGTCGGCCAGGCCGAAAAGCGGTTAACCATTTTCCGAGACTTACGAATATTAAGACAGTGCAAAGTGTTTTAGGACTAACCGAATATTTTCGTAAGTTTATTCCGCGATACTCGCAAAGAGCACGACCGCTAATGGACTTGAAAAAAGAGGCGAACTTTAAGTTCGAAGCGCGCGAAGTGAAAGGTATTGAAACATTAAAAACGGCGCTGAAGTGTAAACCGGTGATCGTACCGTGTTGACGTCGAGACGGAATTGCATACCGATGCATCGCGATACGGTTACGGGGTAATTTCAATGCAGCGTGACAGTGAAAATAGACAATTTCATCCTGTTGATCAGGCGAACGGTAAGACGACATCGGCCGAAGAAAAATACCACAGCGCCAATAAAAATCGAAAAAAGGCGACAAAATTCAAGGAGGGCGATTTGGTAGCGATCAAGAGAACGCAATTCGCACCTGGATTGAAATTGCGTTCGAAATTTCTGGGGCCATACAGGATCGTACGAGTAATGCGACAGGATCGTACGAGTAATGCGACACGTGTTGCTAAAGTCGGCGAACATGAAGGACCACAGGAGACGTCATCAGCCGCTAGCCAAATGAAATCGTGGGCCAGCTGCGACAACGAAATTGATATCAGCGACGAAGACGCCGAAGACAATCTCTGAGGGCAGAGATTATTTTGTAGGATGGCCGATTGTAGTATCTGTTTTTTGTCTAAATATTTAAGTTGTATATAATAAATTTTTTTTTGCCTGAGAAATATAATCCCTACATAATTTTGCTTTTAAGTAGGTATATTTTTAGTTTGTTTATGACAGAATAAGAACAAGACAGGTCAAATGTTGGAATTCCTCGGGGCAATCTGGCAATAACTGTGACGTAGAGGGAGATAAAGTTTTCAGCCCAGATGTGTAACGGGTACCTGCGTTCAACAAAAAGGACAGATTTTAACGGGCCGTTGCGAACTGAAGACGTGTTTTAATTTTTAACCTTGTTACTATTTTTAATTAATGTGTAATATCATAGTCACTTGTAAATAAAACCGATTTACCATCATTGCTGATTATTTCCCTACATAAATATATATAAAATATATAATTTTTTAGTTTTGCTTGCCTTTTATACCTTTCTGGTGCTTAAAAGCTTGGCTATTGGCATTTGAGTATATAAGAGACGTATAACCGGCCCCATTCCTCATCACTCCCGGGCCCCGCATAGCCCTCTGTTTCCTCGAAAGCGAAATTCCAATAGTTTTAGTAGCCATTCCCGGGTTCGCCGAGCCTATGCTATACGTCCAGTAGGGTAATTAAGGAGGTAGGACGGGAGGGATAGACAGTTTGGTGTTTGGGGGACAATTACGCCGACTTAAAACTAAGTACGACGACCAACCCCCTAGACCAGGCAGTTAGTATTACTCCCAACATTTGGTATTACTGTATGGAGTTCGGGAGTTGTTATTTTGCTGCAGGAGCCTACGTCTTGGTTTACATTTTTGTCGTTATTGTTCGTGTCCAAGTAGGATTGCTCCTGCACTTGTGTCCTGTCAGTCTTGAGACCGAAAACTTGTAGCTTTTGGTGTTTTTTTTTAAATTGTTTATTGCCGCAGTAGTGCGAAATTTCTAACTAATAAACCATAAGTCATACCTAAACAAATAGATCTAGGACCTTATATCTTAGGTGCTTATTCCTTTTCTTGCTGTTCATAAACATCACTTTCTTAACATGTATATTTCCTAAGGAAATTCCGAACATCACCTATGTTATAGGTTATTCCGTTTCGCGTATTTTTAAACACTTGATCTTGGCTCGTTTTGAATAGCAATAATTGTTTTAGGACATAGAGTATCTTATTTTTATAATCTAAAAGTGCGTTATATTTTGTTGTAACAATTTTTGCCTATATAAATATTTGATGTAACAATAATTATAATAATATATGAACTTAACAACATTTTTTGAGGAAAATAGGTTTACTTTAAAAAATACAACAAATTTTTGGGAAAATTTTTGTAAAAATGTAAAAAGCTGAACTAGCTCTTCTGGTAGAAGCCCCGCCGCGGGGCCATGAAGTACATTCCTGAGGGTAATCTTAAAATAATTATTTTTTTACTAGCTATAGCTAGTAATTTGTCCATAGTAGCATTGAGTTGTTTTTCTATTGTATACAACACTGTTAGGCAAGCAAAAAATTTAGTGGTGGATGGATAGATAACCCACTCTTAAACTCGGCATTGACCAGCCTTCAACGTCAACACAAAATGATAATTAATTATGTGGAAGAGCCCCTTCTATAACAGATAAGCTAAAAAGAGTTAAGAGGCCAAGAGAAAGTCTAACTCAATCTCTAAAGAATAGCGAAGGTTTAGAGTATTCTTTGGTGTAGAGGTTTTAATAAGTATTGATAACACCTCGAAAAGATGTTAAAAATTAAACAAACAAGTTTAAGCTCCCATTTAGATAATTTAGATGCATAATTAACGGTTCAATAATAATAATCCTAACTTTGTGGAATTAGTACTACTAGATTAAATTTGACCAAGCGGACTATAGAATCGTTAAATTAAGAATGCACTCAAACAGATTCCATTTAGTAATCAATGTTTGCTATCGATTAAATTTGGCAATTTAACCTTCCAATCGAAAATTAACTGCTATATGATTAAATTAACGATCGACTGCTCCAAATATAAATTAAAACCAAATAGGGAATGAAAGACAAATTAAACTCGATTTGTTTAATATCCAGAGCGCGCTGGAAATTGACCTTTACTAGGTCGTAAAGATGTGGACCTGGAAATGAAATAAAATATTGTATGGATATATTTTTAATAATAGTACATTATTATAAGAGTGATAATGCAGGCTATTATTTTTAAAGATGAGGTTATCGACATAAATCATCCGAGTGAATACTACGCATTATCTCTAGTTTTATACTATGATTTTTCTATTATAAGTAATGTTCATTAAAATTTAAATTAATCAATACATCTATTCTATTCTATTTTATTCTAATACTTATTATTATCTTAAAATGATTTAAATCAAATATATCAAAAACAATAAACAATCTGTGTTATAGTCAAATGTCAAATTTGTATGTGTTATAAAAACAGATTATAAAGGTAATAAATCGAATTGTATTTCTTGAAAATGGAGTAACAACAGTTTTTCACAGTGAAAGAAAAGAAAATGTTTTATGAGCACTTCACAGTGGAGTCCGAGCCCGAATTTAAGTTATAGTTTACTGCCGGCAAAATTAAAAGGTTTCAATGTTCATATAAACTTTTTAAATATTATCGTTAATAAACTATTTTAAACTTTTGTATTTTTGTATTAAGATAATACAATAATTTTCACATTTAGTATTAGTTTACAAGAAAGGGACTAAATTAAAAACTTCAACCCGTTGGTAAAACGCTAAAAAGCCACAACTTGTCAATGTGCATTTAAAAGGTCACTGAGTGTCAAGGAAACATGTACTAAAATGGGCGTTTTAAAGGTGGAAGTAGAAAAAAGAATTTAAAGCCAATTTTATTTGTTAAACATTTGACATCTGACAACTGTCAGACGGATTTAACCTCACTTTTTCCTCATTTTAAATAAAGCTAACTTCAGCACGTGACTAAAAGTCACACCTTGTCAATGTGAGAGTTTATAAACGGCATTTTAGTCACGAGTTAGGCACGAAGCATGGCGAGGCAAATGCTTAACAAGCAAGTGTCTAGAGAAGTTTATAAAACAAATTGCATCCTATATTTTTTTTAACGAACAATACAAAAATACTGGTATTTGTAAATTATTTTAATATTTTAATGACAACTAACTTACAGCTAAGTTAGCTGAGCTAACTTCACCCCGTGACCAAGAAGCCCATATTGTGATTAATAATTAAAAGATTACTTAGCGACGCGTAACGCGTCGCTAAGTAATCTTTTAAATATTAATCAGGCGTTGCAAATTAACGTATGTATATGTTTACACTTTGCGATGCGTCGCGACGTGAAAACGTATACGGTAATTTGTATTTTAAAGATTTTTGTTTCCGATTTGCAAAAATATATTCTTACATTTGTATATATACATCCATATGTAAGAAAATATTCTTGAAAATCGGAAACAAAACTTGTATACATTAAACAAATTAAGATATTTATATCTTAATTTTTTGTTAAAATAGCAGATATTTTTAAAGATAACAAAGTTTTAACAAATTTAAATTTCTAACAAGTTATTAAGCAAATAATTAAAACTTCTCATTATTATCATGATAACGGTTTTTTATATTTTAAAACGTTATTAAAAAGTGCTTTTAAAACCTTTTTATAAATAAAACAATACATTTTGTATAATTTTTTAATTAAAAATATAAAAAAGCCATTATTTGAAATAAAAATATTGGTATACAACGTTTTAAAATATAAATATTTGTTAATTATTAATACAAAAACTTTCTTTTATTTAAAACATAAAACAATAACATGTACTGTTTTTATGTTTTAAATAAAATAATATTTTTTTTATTTTTAACAAATATTTACTTTTTACAACAGTTGTTTTCATTATTTTTAAAATTGGTGCATTAAAAATAACCTTTACTTAATAGTA